GAGGGAGGAAGGAAAGAAGGGAGGGAGGGAGGAAGGAAAGAAGGCACCAATGAACAAACAGAGGGAGGGAGGAGAGGAAGGGAGAAAGGGAAGAAAGAATGTCTGCTGTCCGATAAGTCATTAGTAGCAAATTCCAAAAAGCATTTAACAAATTGGGGGAAACCCGCTGTAATTCAATTGACAAAGAGTTAATTTCCTAGTATATACTGAAAGCTCTTACAAATCAGTAAGAAAAAAAGCAACAATCAAATGGAGAAATGAGCAAAAGATAGGTCAATTAAAACAACAACAACAACAACAACAACAACAACAACAACAACAGCAGCAGCACTGGGGCACCTGGGTGGCTCAGTTGGTTAAACACCTGTCTCTTGGTTTCCGCTCAGGTCATGATCTCACAGTTTGTGAGTTCAAGCCCCACATGGGCTTTGTGCTAACAGCATAGAGCCTGCTTGGGATTCTATATCCTTGTCCCTTGCCCCTCCCCTGCTTGCTCTCTACCTCTCTGTCTCAAAACTTAAAAAGTAAACATTTTAAAAATAGCACTTATGGGGCACCTGGGTGTGCAGTTCATTAAGCTCTTGGTTTCCGCTCAGGTCATGATCCCACGGTTCGTGGGTTCAAGCCTGCATCAGGCTCGTCAGAATCTGCTTCAGATTCTGTGTCTCCTTCTCTCTCTGTCCCTTCCCTGCTCAGACTCTGTCTCTCTCTGTCTGTCAAAAATAAATAAATGTTTAAAAAAATTTTAAATAGCACTTATGAAATTAGTACTATTGTGAGATACATTTTTTTCATACAGTTTGTAAAAGTAAAAAGTTTAATAACACACTTTGGAAAGAGGCATACTCATATATTACTGGTAGGAGTGTAAATTGGCACAACTTCCTTAAAAGTAGTATAGCAGTATCAAAATTAGAAATGTATATGCTTTTAGGGGGCGCCTGGGTGGCTCAGTCGGTTGAGCATCTGGCTTCAGCTCGGGTTATGATCTCACAGTTTGTGAGTTCGAGCCCCACATCGGGCTCTGTGCTGACAGCTTAGAGCCTGGAGCCTGCTTCCAATTCTGTGTCTCCCTCTCTCTCTGCTCCTCCCCCGCTCATGCTCTGTCTCTCTGTCTCCTTCAACAATAAATAAAAACATTTAAAAACATTAAAAAAAAAGAAATGTATATGCCTTTTGACCAAGCAATTTTACTACAATAACCTATAGACAGAATTGCATGGATAGAAAAAAAAAAATGTATGTGCAAGATTCTTCATTCAGAATCATATATCATAGAAAAAATGTGGAAGCAACAATATACATCAATAAGAAACTACTTAAGCAATTTAACATCTACACAATGGAATGTCATGCCCCCATTTTTTTAAAAAAGAGAAGATCCTCTTTATATATGTATATGAAAAAATTTCTGAGATATATTATGAATTTAAAAAAGCAAGGTGAGAAAAAGTATGTATAATATACTACCACCTGTAAAAATAACGAGAGAAAAAGATGCCCTTTTCTGCACATATAAACACATGCTATACACATGCATATTTTGCACAGACAGAAAACATATCTAGAAGATGAAGACTATACAAGTAAACAGAACACAGTGATTGACTGAATATAATTTTTTAATATAAGTAACTTTATATTAAAAGTACATATTGTATATTATGTATATGTATATTTATTTTATTATTTTTTGAGAGAGAGAGAGAAAGGAGGAGAGAGAGAGAGAGAGAGAGAGAGAGAGAGAGAGAGAGAGAGAGAGAAAGCAGGGGAGGGGCAGAGGAGGAGGTAGAGAGAGACCTGAACTGAAATCAAGAGACAGACACTCAACTAACTGAGCCACCCAGACATCCCAATATATTATATAAATTTAAAAATTATTAGAAATATGGGGGAGAAAGCGAGTATATCCACATATAAATACAATATTAAAAGTATAGATAGGGCTAATCTTTAGTGAAGGATATTTAAAACTCCATATTTTCAAGAATTTAGACCTTCCAAACACTGTTATTATTTATCACGGCTACTAAACATCTGAATTCCAGTTGGATCATCCTTGATTTTATTAATTTTTCCTAAATCTTCAAATCCCAGCTTTTCTACATTTGTAAAAGTTTCTTAAAATCTTAAAAGGAACTGGATGATTATGTAATAATTTTCTTAAAGCCATTTTGGTTATGTTAATTGAGATCAGGTCTACTCTCACTGGTTGTCTTGTATGTGCTATTATTATTGTTGTTTTCTGGATCTTTATATCATTTCAATTAATTTCCCTAATAATCCTAGTATCCTTTCTTAATAGTGGGTGCCAATTTTAGTTTATTGCTGAAGCTTCCTTCTTATTAATAAACGTGCCATTTTTCTAGTTTCTCTCTACATTCTAATTTCTAACAAATTTACCCTCAAATTTTGCCAATAGTTCAAAGTGTATAATTTGTATTCTCATTGATGTAGATGTTTCAGAAAAATTCTTAGCCATAACCCACTTAACAAGATTAATTTGGGAAAACATTTTTATGAGCAGGGCAGTCAAAAATTTCTAGCCAAAACAAGATGTTCATTTCCGATGCAGAAGATGACAAGTCTATTCCCATGGCAATAGTTAATACAAATTTAAGTTGTATAAATAGTCGTTTTGAAAATAAAAAGGAAAACAATTTGTTTTTTATTTTATTTCAGGACCCAAAGGAGTAATAAATGATTGGAGAAAGTTTAAATTAGAGAGTGAAGACAGTGATTCAGTTCCACCAAGCAAGAAGGAGATTCTCAGACAAATGTCTTCTCCTCAGAGTAGAGATAACAAAGACTCAAAAGAAAGATTCAGCAGAAAGGTAAGGAGAAATCAATAATAAATAACTTACAATGTTTTTAGTCAAAATTACTTGAAAGAATCACTTTAGAGATATTATAAAATAGATATATTTCAAAAATATATATTATAGTATTTATATTGGCAAAAAAACAGGAAATGAAGTGAATGCCTGTGAAGATATTCCATATTAAAAAATGTATAGCAGCTATTAAAAGAATTAGTCACAAATGCATGAGCTGACTTACAGGCAGTTCTATAATATGAGAAAGCAAGATACAGAGTATGGTAAATTATACAATCCCATTCTCTAGAGCAATGGGGAAAAAAAACACATTACTGCATATATTTTTATGCTTATATGATTATATGAACATGTGTGTAAAAAAGTAGGGAAAGACACTCACCAACTTGACAATATTGGTTAGTTGGAAGGATGGGATTGGTTGAGAGATCTCAACTTCCTTTTTCCAAGTAGGAGAAAGAAGATAAGCAGAATAAACCACTTTTTTTTTAAGGTATCATGATTTTTTTAAAGCAGCATTAGCAAAAAAATCACAGTAATTTACTTGTCATATAATGTGTATTTCCATGTGATATGTTAAAAGATGATCTCTAAAATGTTAATGGAGATAAACTCAGAATATTAGAGTGAGGACATTTCACTATTTCTTCCTTCCTTCCTTTAGCTTTTAGGCCATTTTTGAATCCTTATAATTAGCATGCATTATCTATATAACAATAACAATAATAATCATATTAATTAAAAACCCATAAAGTGATTTCCATTGTGGAATATATCACCTTATGGATTATTATCTCTAAACCAGTGTATACCATTCATTATATATTAATTCTCAACAGACTGCATCAGAAACATAAAGGCATTTTTTTTTTCAACGTTTTATTTTATTTTTGGGACAGAGAGAGACAGAGCATGAATGGGGGAGGGGCAGAGAGAGAGGGAGACACAGAATCGGAAACAGGCTCCAGGCTCTGAGCCATCAGCCCAGAGCCCGACGCGGGGCTCGAACTCACGGACCGCGAGATCGTGACCTGGCTGAAGTCGGACGCTTAACGACTGCGCCACCCAGGCACCCCCATAAAGGCATTTTTGAGTGACACATTCAGATTGTGTGTCTATACCTTTTTATTTTTTATGAAAGCCACTCCAGGGTAGAACTTGCTGGGATTTTTTTACCCAAAGTGATGGGTAGTTCAGCGGCACATTTCTTACTGGTGATCATCTCGTGGCTCCACAGCAATATTTAGGCATGCTCTAATCATGAAATAGTTATGAGCTCCTATTATATTCCAGACACTACAGCAGATAGTGAAGAGTGATGAATGAGACAAAATTCCTGCCCCATGGGACCTATCAGTTATAAAAACTATTATTAAAGGGGCGCCTGGGTGGCGCAGTCGGTTAAGCGTCCGACTTCAGCCAGGTCACGATCTCGCGGTCCGTGAGTTGGAGCCCCGCGTCAGGCTCTGGGCTGATGGCTCAGAGCCTGGAGCCTGTTTCCGATTCTGTGTCTCCCTCTCTCTCTGCCCCTCCCCCATTCATGCTCTGTCTCTCTCTGTCCCAAAAATAAATAAAAACGTTGAAAAAAAAATTAAAAAAAAAAAAAAAACTATTATTAAATAAATAAATAAACAACACAGTCTCAGGTAGTGTTTATTGCTATGAAGAAAAATAAACCAATATAATGAATAGAGAGCATAGGGTGGGCATTCTGTTAGGTGGTGTAGTCAAAGAAGGTGACATTTGAACAAAGACTAAAAGTGGTCAAGGAGAAGGCCTTCACACCACGAGTGAGGTAGGATGAGGGGGAGAAAATAGTACATGCAAACTTTGAGTCTATATGCTTTTGTGTCTAAAGCATATAAATTCTGACTGAATGATCTCTGTCATTTCTTGTGTTTATTCCTAGATGAGCATTCAAGAATATGAACTAATCCACCGGGACAAAGAAGATGAAAATTGCCTTCGTAAATACCGGAGACAGTGTATGCAGGATATGCACCAGAAGCTGAGTTTTGGGCCTAGATATGGGTTTGTGTATGAGCTGGAAACTGGGGAGCAATTCCTGGAAACTATTGAAAAGGAGCAGAAAATCACCACAATTGTTGTTCACATTTATGAAGATGGCATTAAGGGCTGTGATGCTCTAAACAGTAGCTTTACATGCCTTGCAGTTGAATACCCTATGGTCAAGTTTTGTAAAATAAAAGCTTCTAATACAGGTGCTAGGGACCGCTTTTCCTCAGATGTACTCCCCACACTGCTTGTCTACAAAGGTGGGGAACTCATAAGCAATTTTATTAGTGTTTCTGAACAGTTTGCAGAAGAATTTTTTGCTGGGGATGTGGAGTCTTTCCTAAATGAATATGGGTTACTACCTGAAAGAGAGACACATGCCCTAGATCAGACCGACATGGAGGAAGATATTGAATAAAGAGTCACTATGTCAACATCTCATATTTCTCCTTTACAAGTTGAGCATTGATTTTCATAGTATCTATATTCCTTTAGAGAACACCAAGTATGGCCATGGCTATTTTAATTTGTGGGAAAAAAAACATGTACACTAAAAGTATTTACTTAGCATTTCTTAGTTACTTAAATGCATAGAAGTCTTTACTATAAAACATTGTAGTGTTCAGCCACATGTTTGTAGACAAAGAGAATATGAATAATGTGACAGTTTTCAAAATCCCTTTCAAATTATGTGTTGGCTTTTTTACTCCTTGTTTTTTCCTCAGTGTTATTATTTGGGCTTTCAAATTACACTATCAATTATAATTTTTCTAGTGTGATAAGAATAAAGTCTCACAAGGAAATAAGTTTTCTTTTTGAAGTCTTTTCTTTCTTGAGTATTACATTATCAAGGTCCTAAAAACATTATATAACCCAAAATACAAAAAAAAAATCATTAAGATACACACACACACACACACACACACACACATATAAACTTAGAAACACTGTGCCACATTAAAGTTGCAAAAAAAAGTAGTATTTCTTTTAAAATTTTTTTTTTCAACGTTTTTATTTATTTATGGGACAGACAGAGACAGAGCATGAACGGGGGAGGGGCAGAGAGAGAGGGAGACACAGAATCGGAAACAGGCTCCAGGCTCCGAGCCATCAGCCCAGAGCCTGACGCGGGGCTCGAACTCGCGGACCGCGAGATCGTGACCTGGCTGAAGTCGGACGCTTAACCGACTGCGCCACCCAGGCGCCCCAAAAAAAAGTAGTATTTCTTTTAAATACAATTTCAGAAGCTAACCTTATTTAGGAAAAAAGGCAGAGTAGTAGCAAAGTCTTTTTATTCTACAGACAAAAAATTATCTAGTAGTGATAATAATTACAACTATACAGATATCATTTTTTAATTTTTATTTTTATGGGCCAGGATTTTATACATATAATATCTAATCCTTTTTTAATTTTTTAATGTTTATTTAATTTTGAGAGAGACAGAGCATGAGTGGAGGAGGGGCAAAGAGAGAGGGACAGAATCCCAAGCCGGCTCCAGGCTCTAAGCTGTCAGCACAGAGCCAGTTGCGAGGCCCAAACCCACGAACTGTGAGATCATGACCTGAGTTTAACCGAATGAGCCACCTAGGCATCCCCTAATTCTTTTTTTAAACGTTTATTTGTTCATTTATTTTGAGAGAGAGAACACATGCATGTGCGTGAGCAGGGGAGGGGAGGAGAGAGAGAAAGATAGAGAGAAAGAATCCCAAGCAGTCTCCATGCTGTCAGCGAGGAGCCCAATGCAGGGCTTGATCCCATAAACCGGGAAATCATGACCTGAATCGAAATCAAGAGTCAGATGCTTATCCAACTGAGCCACCTAGGAGCCCCTATAATGTCTAATTCTTAACCACAATTCCACAAGTAGATAGTATTATTCGACTTTAAAAATGATGAAACTGAAGTTCAGAGATCTATTTCTCTTGAAAACACTTGCAAGGGCGCCTGGGTGGCGCAGTCGGTTAAGCGTCCGACTTCAGCCAGGTCACGATCTCGCGGTCTGTGAGTTCGAGCCCCGCATCAGGCTCTGGGCTGATGGCTCAGAGCCTGGAGCCTGTTTCCGATTCTGTGTCTCCCTCTCTCTCTGCCCCTCCCCCGTTCATGCTCTGTCTCTCTCTGTCCCAAAAATAAATAAACGTTGAAAAAAAAAATTAAAAAAAAAAAAAAAGAAAACACTTGCAAAACTCTCCTCCTACACAAACAAATGGAAATGCAAAATAAAATATAATTTGAAAAATGTTTTTAAACACATGAATGAACTGAGCAAGAAGATAAAAGAAACTTCTAGGGGTCTGAATCACTGTAGGAAATAATGGTGAGTGAGAGCTGAAGCACTAAGGCCCGTATATGAAGACATAGTGCTTGATAAATCATCAAAAATTGGCTCCCTGTAGGAAGTGTGCTTAAAACAGTTTTGCCTATTTTCCCCTGGTGGACCAATGCTCAAATCAGACTTTGTCACAAGTTCTAGTCTCCAGTTTCCTAAATGAAGACTTTATAGATTCTCATTCCTTAAGCCTTTTATAGATTTTCTTCCTACTTCAAGCACTTCACCTTCCTCATATTTCACTGAGAAAATAGAATTTATCAGACAAGCCCTACTTCACCTTTCCATCACCAATCTACAATGTGCACCTGCATGTAAACACTGTTTCCACTGATGTTATAACGCAAGTGTCCATGCAGCTAAGACTCATGACCAAACTGAGCAGTAGAGCCAACCTTCTCACCCATTTTTCTCCTGCAAGTGTTTTCCCTCTCATTTCATCATGTTTCACCCTTTCTCTTTGTCATACTATTCATATTGGCTTGTAAATGAATTTTAAAATTGCCCACTATGTAAAATATACCTAACTATAATTTAAAATTTCCAGCTATTCCTCAGTTCCCTGCTTTCCTATACAGTCATATCTCTCAAAAGAACTATCTACAGCCATTATCTTTGTCTTCATTTCCATTTTTTTTTCATCCCACTCCCATCCAGCCTTTGTCTCAAACACTCTAATTACAGTTGAAGTCATATTGTCAAACTTAGTGGACAATTCTTATTCCCTATTTTATTCTATCTCTTAATAAGCATATGTCAGAGCTGCCTACCTCCCCTCTTTTTGAGTCACTTCTTTCGGCTTCTTTCAAAATACACTGTTTGTTTGCTTTCTATCCTACTGACTATTTCATTTAAGTATGAATAGTCTTCTTTGCCAAACACTCATCCAAGGTAGCCCCCTTCTGTCCATAGTCTTAAATATCACCTTACATTCAGATCACTTTCAAATTCACATTTCTACTTTCACCTCTCTCCTAGACTACAAAACCCTGTGTCTCAACTGGAGAAAGAGAATAAAGGAGAAAAAGAATGGGAAAGAAAAAGAAGGCCTGTAATTGTTGTAGATATTGGTGATACAAATATGGGTAATATAGAATTCCTAACTATGGCCAGCATACATTGACAAGTCCTTAACATATAGTCATTGCAATAGGTAGTTTCTTTTAATGAACCTAAAATTCCATCTTCTATTCCTCTTTGTAAATTGGGAAAGGCATTTTAAATATCCTCTGGCCTGTTTCTAAGTTGGTGAATTCTAGACATACCACAAGGAGGAAAAGTTCTAGGAGAGATACATGAAGGGCAATTACATACAAAATAAGAAACAAAAAAAATAGTCCAACTGTTTTCTCCTATCAAACAATTGCTAACAAATTTGTTAATCCTTTATGGAGTTCTCTGCTAGGGAATTAATGGACTCAAAAAGCCATAGAAACAAACAAACAAACAGGATCTTCATATGAGATATTAATAATGAAAAAACTCCTTAGTGGAATGTCTCTTTAGATTGACATTAATTCCATGAGCTGGAAGTAAATACTTAAAAAGATGATGACAAGGCAGTAAGGAATGATAGTCAAATGGGTATCTTTAAAGAGAACAATATTTTAAGAATGTAAGTTCTCAATCGCTAGTCTTTAACTACAATGTGATACAGCTTTGTAGGGCAGGGGTAGAAAAGCATAGCTAAGCAGTGAAAAAAGTTTCATCTATTAAAAAGAAGAATAAAAAGGAGTGCTTTGAAAGATTCCTTCAATGAAAGCTTTACTCTTGTATCAACTGTGCATTTAAAATAGAGAACTAGCAAGCTTAAGCAGGACTGAACCCAGGAATGTATTTAACCCATAATTGCCAACACAAAAGTAACTAGGTGGCACCTTTGTAGGGAGTAAGTGATGATAGCAACCATTCTCAAAATAAGCACTTGGTGACTAATGGATGCCAGAATGCAGCTTTGATGGTAACACTCATCAGAAAGAGTCGGACAAAAGGCAGGATTTGACTAGAATATCTGAAACCCTCTGCTGCAGAAATCCTGGATTACAAACTCCCCTCATGTAAACACTCATTCCGCTATTATGTTTGGCAGGAGAAGAGATCATTTTTGTCTCAGCAAAAGAATGAAGTTTAAATGTAAAGGTCTAAAATGCTGTAACATGCCTCATAACAAACCACCCAAATAATAAGGGGAATAGCCTTGGAAGAACCAAGAGTGTCAGCTGCAAAGTAATATTAAAATAAGAGAAATATTTTAGGGAACAGCAAAATTATCTTAGTGAGAAGCTTATTCATTCATTCGTTCATGAAATATTTATGGATGAGCTGCAATGTGCCATGTAGTGTTCCTGACCTTAAGGAGCTTACAGTAGAGAAAGGAGACATTTAAACAAGCAATAGGTAATGCCTGCATCTATATCCATGTATATATTAGTAATGGTGGTTAATAGCCTGAGCACTGGTGCCAGACTACCTGGGTTAATTCAGTAACCTTGAGTAAGTTAGTTAACCTCTCTGTACCTGTTTCCTCATCTGTCAAATAAGGATAATCATAGCACATCCTCACTGGACTGTGAGGAAAAAGTGAATAAATCATGTAAACAAACTACTTAGAACAGTGCCTGTTACATAGGTATTACTCAAGTGTTATTATTATTATTATTATCATTATTACTATTACTAACAGATACTTATGAAGTATAATGGTACATACAGTACATAGATACAACCTCTGAAAGATATGCTCATGTAAATAGAAGCTAATTTACGAAGATGGTGGGATGCAATTTATCTATCCCAAACACCTCACACACATTCCTGCATATAAGGACCTTATTAAAAATTCTAAATATTTGAATTGAATTAGAGATCTCCCCCAAAATTGTCATTTCAAGTTGACTGAGGATACCATGATAAATATAAGTTAAATTATTTCTAAAAAAAAGTGTGAAATAAATATTAATACACACATGAGAAAGAAATCTACAGAGTTTTGAGGACTATTATACTGAATTTTTTTTTGTACAATATAATCATGATCATATACTTAGTTGTTCAAATATATCTTGTAAACTATTACCTCACGATAAAAT